AACTATTTAGGTGAAGAAGTGGTGATAATATGCAGTTTGCATTTGCCTGGCGCCAGCTTGACTGGCCCCTGGTATCTGACTGCCTGTCTTAAAGCTGCAGTGCCTCCTTTTCCAAAACTGGATCTTTATGGCAAGTGAGGTTTTTCTCCTTTTATAAACACGTTTCTGAAACTTGCAAAACCTGTACAGGAGGAGAAGAACCAGCTATCTGAGCCTGAATGTCTTGGTTTTCATGAGTTTTTCCCTTCCCCAGTAATATAATTCAATTAGATCTGGAACCGAGTAAGAGTCCAGGAAAATTTTCTTGGATGCAAGTTGTAATAGTCTCAAACTCGTAAGCCTGTTTGTGAGAGGGCAGGGGGCTGCTTACATGGCCCCCTCCTGATTCTTTTCTGTGTCCTTTTAACGGGGGGGGGGGCTCAAAGACCCTAAAGCTTTCCTTCATTTTTTTTTCTAACACCAATTTTTCTTGTTACGCTCTGAATTCAGCCTTTTGTATCTTTCCTATTGGGAGTTGATAGAATTCTTTCTCTTGACTATTACTGGAACACCAGATACCGTGGTCCTTGTAATAGATGCACAGAAACTCGAGAGGAAAGTTCTGGCTGTCTTTAGCGTTGCTGGACATGTCCGGAGGAAGTGTTGCTTTGCCAAAAAAGTGACAGGGTTGTTAGGAATGTTTCTGCTTCAGAGTTAAACCAGTTTTGTTTGGTAGTCAGTTGTGACTATTTGGGTTCCCTACCAAGCTCTGGGTTCACACAATGCAGTAATGCATGGTTTGCTGAATTAGCTAGATTGCAAAGATTCTTAAAACACCTGAACCATCAGTCAAACACGTTGGTTGGATTTGCACAACACACTGATCCTCTAGCCCAGTACGTTTTAGGTTGTGTGTGGTGCAAAGCCAGCCCTTGAATGTGTAGCCCTTTGAATTAGCTTAAGGCTCTTGGAACCGTAGGCCACAATTACAGGTCTCTTTGGGGCTCTTGAAAGGAGGGAAAATGGCACTAACCAAACCACGGTGCAGTTTGTTTGGCCTGGATTTTGTGCATTGCCCAAACTAAGACTCTGTATCTGATGAACCATGGCTTGGTATAGCATTTACTGGTTGAAAACAATGTCAGTATTAAAACGCTCTGCATTCTGTGAACCCAGACTTGCACTGCTGGGGAACATTGTCTTGTGAGGAAGCTACTTTGAAATCAACAAACGCCTTCATAGGTCTGTAGTTTTCCAGGCATGTTGGTGAGAAAGTTCTAAATTCAGGGACTGCCTTTTCAGCTGACAAGGGGAACACTAACTACAGGGTAGTTCATATTCCTTGTGAGGACCGGACCCGCAGTTGGCCAACCAAAATCTTGTTGCGTTTGATGGGATTATTCTAAAATAAATGAACTTGAAGATTGTAACTGGTAGATTCTTTAAGGTGTACCTGATGGTTGGATTCACACAACACGCTAAGCCTCTGTAACAGATTTGTCCTATGCATTGCACAAGGGACAAGTAAAGCACTTATTTGTGCCACACCATCTTATGGTTGAACATGATGGTCTGGTTGACATGACATGCTAAGACAATGTTAGGGTTCCTAGAAAGACTGACCCGTGGACCACCCTCCCTCAATGTAGTCAAGTCTAAAGTGTTGGGTCAACCAAACATGTATACCTTGATAGAGGGTTAGTTGTGGCCCGTGGGAAGTCTTCCAGTCATGAAACTTGCATTCATCTAAGACCTGCAGCTTGATTTCCAGCTCCTTGGCAAAGGAACTTGTCTGTGGCTTTCTGTCAACTCTAGTACCTTTTCCAAGTCATACATGTGAGCTTCTAATCAATATTCTACCCTTTGTTCAAAGTAAAAGTGACTTCATTGGGGTGGTAACCAACTTTTTGAAAACTTGGATGATGTTCATTTGCCTCTTCTTTTTTTCAGAATCACCACCCCCTCCTTATTCCCGGCTGTCTCCAAAGGATGAGCAAAAGCCATTGGGTAAGTGTGTTCTCCACCCAGACTTTCCTACTGCAGCTTACTAAGCAGAAGTAAGAGTGGTCCACATGTAATGTTCACAACTGGAAGACCTGTATTTTGGCAACTTTTGACTCTTCTCCAGAAGAAAGATGACTGCCTTTGGCTTTTCTCTCTCTGTGTGTACCTTAAGATGATGCAAAACTTAGACATGAAAGGCACGTACAGGGTTGTGCTGGATCTTGCAGAATGCCACATAGGATATAGTCAGACTATCCTGCGTCCAACTCAGTGTTACACACACATTGCGAAGTCAGTAGGAAGACTCTGGTCAAGGTCTGGTCCAGGGATCAGGGCACAAAGTCCTGGCAGAGATTGAATTATCCAGACCATCATAGCAAAAGCTGGTTTCAAGAGGCAAGCAGGCCTGCTCAGTTTATTGGAGATCTTGTTTCAGCATTAGAATAAGTTCAAGCAACATATCTTTCACCAGAAGCTCAAGACCAGCTGGGGTTGCTTAGACAATTCAGGAGGAATAGCATACTTCAGAGTAGGCCATTCTTCTCAGGGCACTCCTCCCAACAGTCTAGCACTCCTGTCTTTCCTGCTGCTGCTGCTGCTCTCATGGACTAGGCATCTCTCGTCCTTACTTTGGGCTCCGAGTCCAAGATTTCGGAGAAGCCGATTCTGAGAAGACCCTGGTTCCTCACAATTGCTGTCACCAGATTCCTCTCCTGCTGCTTCTCGAAGGAAGACTTCTCAAGGGCACCACACACATTTGCTTGCAGTGCCACTGGCAGTCTTACACAAGTGAGCTGTAACCAGATGCTATCAGAGCAGACGTTTTAGTGCCACCCAAATCTCTCACGCTCCTTTAAAAAACAGAATATGTTGCCAGTAAAGAGTTTCAGAGCAGGCTTAGAATGTGCCGGTCACCCTGGCTCCATGTTTCCACAAAGTTCAGGGGTAAACTGGAGAAGGCAGGTTAGTTTACTGTTCCAGGCACAACATGCTAAACCATGGCTTGGTTAACTATGGCTTACTGAATAAACCACAGTTGGCTGAGTTCACACAACACAAAAATTAGAGGGGTGTGTATGTGTGTGTGTTTCCTAAGCCTTTAAATAGTGTGTCTGGGGCCACCCTCCAAAGATTAATGGCAGGAACCAGGAGAGTGTAAACTGTAATGACACTGAAATGACGACATGCATCTCGGTGGCCGATGTAGAATTGTAGAATACGAATATTGTCATGAACATTTCATGATTTCCCGTCATGGCAACTGTGACAGTGCGATTAAACTCCATCTGGCTTTTATGCGCATCACACATGACACACATAAAAACCAGACAAAGCTTCAGCTGCACTGTTATGGCTGCTCTCTTGACTTTTTGACCACATCCAGTGGACACCTCCCCCTTAGGATGCAGGAGAGGGTGAAAGACAGACAGATCTCAACTCTCAATAATACTGCATCTGTTAAGGGAAAAAACGCAGGAAGGGTTTCATTGGAGAAATGGCGGCAACCTTATTTTAAACGCTGCCCTGTGAGAGGAATTCCATTTCTCTCCCCGCGACTCTTCTGTTTTGTTTTCTTAAGCATCAAAGAAAATGTGGTCGAAGAAGCGAGGCATAAAAATGTGACCTACTTAAAAACTGGCATGCCGCAAAGGGAGTAGCCTTCCAAAATATATATTGTCATTTAAGCATTTAAACCTAGGCATCAACAGAAAACTTGCCTGCCTCTGCCATCGGCTCTTTGCGTGGAAGGCTCTGCAGGTGGATGGGAATTTAGCTGGATTAAAGCAAAATTATGCAGATGGAGCGAAGCCAGAACCTGAGAGTTCTGAAGTTCGTTGTCCTCCCCCAAGAAGGAAGGGTTAGGCCCATGAGAACTAGGGAAATTCTTACCGGTTTCCCGGAGTTTTGGCTCGGTTGACTGAAGGGTTCTTGTGCAAAACTTTCAGAAGGAATTGAACGTGTGGAAGCTGCATCAGGATTTCCAGCTCCCATCCCTCCTCAAGAGACTTCTGATCAGTGTAAAATAGAAGCAGTTGTTGGGTGGATTATTAGTCAAGTGGCAATCAGATATTTACCTGTTGAATTTCTGCCAGGGGTGGTACAGAAAAACCTTCCTTCCTTCCTTCCTCCCTCCCCCCCACTCTCTCTCTCTCACACACACACACACACACACACACACACACACACCCCTATCGGGGTAGCTTTGAGGACCTGCTGTTCACTATCTTTTGGATCACATCCATTTCATCTAGATGACACCTGCAGAATGTCAGACCCATCAAACCAAATTTCCTGTACGCCCATAAATCCTCCAAGTCAGGAAGTGTTTCAAAGATCCATCATGTGTGAATAATGGGTTACAGTCAGTTTGTTGGGTCCCAAGTTGTACTGAACCTCATTCAGAAGTGGTCTAGGTAAGGACTAGTGGACAATGTTGTAGCCCCTGGCAGTCCTCCAAGGTCCCATGGACACAAGGTCCCATGAGCACAGTACTGGTCTAATACAAAGTGGTTTATCAGAAAAATGTGTCTCTTCCTGACTGCGTTTCATTGTCCAGTTTCTGTGGAGGATTTTTTGTCAAAAAAAAAAATCAAGAAGCAAATATCTGGACACCCTGGTTCTTTTTGATACTGGTTGTACTTGGTAGACAGGGAACTCGGAGTTCATGTATTGGAACTTTGCTTTTTAAACAAGCAGGATTGAAAAGAAAAGGGAAATCAACAAATAATAAATTGATTTTGAGCAGGCTTTTAGAGCATATTTTTAATTAAAGTGGTGTAAGTGAAGGAGAGAGAGAGCGACCAACAAAAGACTTTTAACTTGTTAAAACAAAGTTTTCTTGGTCTCTGCAGGGGAGGAAGGAAGGAAACAAGAATAAACAGCTTCAAGAATTTTAATAGTGATAATTAAGTATAGTAACAATGAATTGTTTGGAGGCTTAGTGTAACCTTACCCATGGAGCTCCAAGTTCCTACTTGTTCGATCCATTCAACCTTGGTTATTTTTGAGGCCCAAGTCCTGCCAGTGTTTTGAGCACTGGAAAAAGAGAAAGAGAGCTATTGCTTTTCATTCATATCAGCCGTTGGTATCTCTGGTTAGGTTAGGAGAAGAACCTTGATGAATTGCAAATGCACATCTCAGCAGACAAGGTGGACGGATGGTTCCACCTGGCAGAAGGCCGTTTTCTTTGGTGATAAGTTCCAAGAGTTTCTTTGCAGGGCAATTCCTTAGACATAGCAATATTACCCCTTTTCCTCTTATTGGTGTCTTAAGAGCATACCCAGAGTTACTGTTTTGTTCTTGCTAGGAAAGAAGTAATCCTGTCTCTGATTGGGAAGGGCTGGAATAGGTCCTCTTAAGATGCCTCTGGAAAGATAGTTGCTAGTCTTAGTGGTCACACCTTCCACACACATTCTCACTCCTTCCCCTTCGCTGATTGCCTCTGAGCAAATGGCTGGGCTCTAAGCATCTCTAAGAAGAGGCAGGGACGTTGCGTAATCAGGATGAGGGCTAGATTTCTTCTATTCTCATCAAGAGGGCTACTTAAAAGTCAGACAGGCAACAGGGCGGGAGCAGAAAAAGCAGCCGTTGTCTCTAGGTTCACATATGGTTTAAACCACAGCTAGTTTCAACCATTCTTTGTTAAAACAAGGCAGAGTTGTTGTCCTTACACATTGGGCTCTCATAAACCATGGTTTAAAATGATGCTTAAGGTTCATACTAAGTCAAAACCACTTTTCACAGCGTAAACTAAGCTGTGCAGTACTTTGGATTTGACTCCAAAAAGATGTTTGTGAGCTGAAACATAGACCCTGTCCGCAACTTTTTAAAGCAGCTGTGTCTTTCCCCAGAGCGTGAAGCTTCTGCTTCCAACGGTTTCCTGTGATCCCAGGAAATAATGTGGCTGCTTTAAGGAATAGTAGAAAAGCACTGCACGGGTGCTCCCTCCCATTCGTTTGAAAGCACCTTTGGGGAATTGCATCTGAAGCATCGCATAGCCCTAGTGGGAATGCTTCTTGGGATGATAAAGTTATAAGCCATTTAAGAAATAACATGTGCTTTTTCTCCTCTACTACTTAGATCTTTCAGATTCCACATTGTCCTACACTGAAACGGAGGCTACGAATTCACCCAACATCATCCCTGGAGACTTTTCAGGTAGGCAGATGTGTTAATGTGTGGGATACAGTGTCGCTTCTAGCAAGACTTTCTGAAGAAAAATAACCTTGGTGTCCTAAGAAAGCAACAGAAGTGGTCCCACTGTTAAATAGTGAACTTGCATTGATAGGAGTTAAAAGACACATCTTCACAAGGAGAAGCTAGTTAATGTTCTTCCCCCCTTGCAAGATCTCTTAGTATGGGCTTGACACCGTGGCTAACTTGCCGATCCCTTTTAAAGGGTCCCATGTTTATATTACCTTTATTACTAAAATGTGCAAAGTAATGCGTTTTAACAATACAGTGAAAGAACAAAGTACATTTTAACAAACTCCCCCAGTTCCAGAAATCTGCATTTGTCAAACTCGTTAAGAACTAACAAGGAAAGAAAAGAAACAGATTCAATATTGGTATTTGAATACGGGTATTGAAAACTACTGATCGTTTTGATTTTTCTTTATCTTCCGTAGCCAGTGTGTGTTCTCCAACTGACGGCAAACGCCTTTCGTGTAAATATTTCCATTTATCTGAATATTCATTTCTCCAAAAATAGGCTGAATGCTCATATTTAAAAGTAAGATTAACCTAGTTCTCCTTGTAACATGAAGCTTGATGCTTGAGAAGTGTCTCTGAAATATTAATAATTGGTTTACTTTTTGCAGGAAAGAACAACCAGGGCCCAAAAACCATGTATCACTTAAATTGTTAATTCGTTTTTTTACTGGATGTAGCATATGACTGCCTTGAAATATATGCCAATACATGTGTGTGCACCTCACATGTATATGTATAGACATACACGTTGCCTCTGCGGCTTAAATGGTGTTTCTACCCCATTTAGCAGTCACGGTCTTCCTGTTTTGCAGGACTCCCATTTGCTCAGGAACTTTGATAACCTTATTGTCATCCTCCTCTTGTTGTTGTTGTTTGTGAAACTGCTAGTCCAGGGAAAAAAGAATTTACCTGATCGATAGTAAGTCCTTTTTTGAAAATGTGCTTTGCATGTTTGAGCTTGGTTTAGGTTTAGAGTTGACTAAGGCGTACACAGTTCCTTAGTTTGTTGCCTAATAATGTGGTTCTTGGTGATTTGGATTTAGAGTCCTGTATGGAGGAAGAAAGGTAACTGTTGAGGAAGCCCAAGAGAAGTTTAGAAACCTGTGTGGCTAGCAGTGATGGTGGGGTGGCCAGAGCAGAGAAGACATTGGTGAGAAGGTGGACCTGATGGAAAGCTCCATTAGCTGATTGGTCACTGGCTGCCCTGTAGGGCAAGTCCGGCCCATTGATCACAGACTGTCTCACAGCTGTTGCAGCTGCTGATGCTGGAACTGAACTTCAGAATGTGCAACTTTTGTCAGGGCTCAAGCACAGGAGCAGGAAAAATGCAGTATTCCATTGGAGTGTATTTGAGTAATTGGCAGATACTTATATGTGGGTGAAATTTAATCTATCAACCCTGGAACTTTCCCTACGTATTGCAGTTGCTCCTAGGAGCTGTTGGAGCAAACGAACTCCTAAGAATGTGTGACATATTCTAAACATGGTGGAAAGTTAGAATCCAAAGATGGAGCTGGTCCAGATCCTACCACTCCCACGGTTCTCCTGCGCCAAGTGATCAGGAAACTGTAAAGCCCGAACGCTGCTTGTGTTTTCTTTTCTCAAGATGGATCTTGTGCCAACTCAGAGAGGAAAGGTTGAGAAAGCTTCCAGAAATTTGATTCCAGCGTGTAGGAATGTGAGATATTTTTTGGGCCTCAGTTTCCAGGAAGGAACATGTGCTTTCGTGGTAGAACTCGGCCCATCTTGGCTTCTGACTCAGCTGTGAAGCTCAAGTAAATACAGTTTCTGACCACTGACCTAGAGGAATACATGTCACTTTTATGATCAGATTTTTGAACGGTTGGCTCTGAAACATTTTGTGTGACCCGGTATCAATTCCCTCTCTTTAACTGAGCTGCAGATGAGTGCACAGGAGCCCTTGGCTTCCAAGGCAAAAGGTGAGAGGTTCTTACCTTTGCATAACTGTCAGGAGAAAAAAAGTGGGTTTAAACTTTTCTACTAGAACAAAATAACGATCACTTTGTAACCAAAATGGTAGTGTAATTGGATATTCCCATCTCCTACTGTGGAATTTCAAGTGGCTCAGCTCTTCATAAGAGCCTAATGTCGGTTATTTATCTTTCCCCAGTGGGCAGGGTTACATATATAGGATAAGAGACTCGCTGCAGTTTAACCCTTAACTCGCCGTACTAAAGCAACATCTGTGCTGTTCTGATCGTAGAGCGGTTTCCAGGATCAGCCTTCCCCAATCTGGGAGGCACCAGATGTGCCTTGCCTGAATTTGCAACCAGAAATTGGTGGAAGTGTATTCCCAGTTCCTTGGGTGGCTGCCAGTCAGGGAAACCTATATTGCACAAAGGTGGTTGAGGTTGATCCCAGGCATGCTCCGCTGGATGGGTCTGATAAAGACCTTGGGTCCTAAATAGGGGTGGGACTTTGCTCTCCTTTCTGGATGGGAGGGCAATCTGGCTGCAACATGTTACGCTCGCCCACCCACCCTGATTGCCATGGTTGATCTGATCTGGCTGGCCAGACAGCTGTCATCTTCTGGTCTCCATGGGCGTCCTTCTAGAAGTTGGTGGAAGAGAACGACTATCTTGGGTAGGAGGAGTGTGCTGGTCTTCAGTCAAGGGTATATGATAGTTGGGCTCCCTGCTAGGGAGAGGCTCTCCTTGCTAGCTTGGAAGGATGACCAGAGGGACGTATCGCAACTACTAACGTATCAGTGATCCCTGACAGCTTCCATTTCGTCTTAGGATGCTACCGCCTCTAGCCCTGTTCTTCCCTGCTCCCTGCTCATTGGTTTGACTCCCACCATCTATCTCCTATCACTTACCTATCTCCTCCCTGGCTCAGCTACCTGTTTGCCTCCAGATGAGCCATGCCTTTAAGTGCCGGCGCTAATGGGTTTTCATACGAATAGAGTTGCGCAGCGTGTAGCATCGACTTTATTGTTGGTTCAGCCATTTGGAGAACGGGGATGGAATTTGAACGGGGTTGATAAATGGGCTGCGCAAAGTGTCCTGTTAAGTCACTCCAGCATCCCCAAAGTTGGGCTTGCCACGCCTCTTGGCAGCTCTGAACAATAGCGGGTAGCGTCCCTTGGGGTAGGTGGAATTAGGTCGGGGTAAGTCAAATTGGCATCTCTGAGAAGGCCGGAGCTGGCATGCCAATGGTTATAAATTATCTGCAAAGGACCAGCTCAGAAAGCCAATGCAGATGTGGAAGAAATGCCCTCTTCCTTCCTCGAAGCGAGAATGAGAGAAGGCATAACATTCTACCTTTGGAAGAGGTCGTTGGACCCACCTATAATCCAAATTAAAGCTGCTTCTGACAAACGGCATCCACCCCCTGTTTGAACACACCCAGCGAAAGAGGGCCTGTTCCTTTCCATTTGGTTGCACTGTTCATTACTCGTACTTTCAGGGCAAATTTTCCTAACATTCAATCCAAATGAGCCTTCCTGTCCCTTCATGCTCTGCAGTAAGAGAGAAAAAGGCTTGGTCCTTCAGGTATTTGAAGAGGCTGTTGCACCTGATCTCCAGTCTTCTCTTCTCCAAGGGAGACTTGTTCAGTTCCTTCAGTCATTCTTCACAGAATTTGGTTGCTAATCCCCAGATCATCTTCACTGTCCTTCTCCAAGTCTGTTCCATTTCTTGGGATCCTTTTGAAACCTGGGGAGCGCCTAATAATTTGTTTGAACTTTGGCAAGCTTATTTCTGGGAAGTGACGACAAAGGCTGGAATGCAGGATGATGGATGATCCAGGCATTGTGGGTTTCTCTTGGTGGGGAGTGTCTGCCTACCTTGAATGGCCACCACAGCAAATCCCATGAAAGCAGGTGAATTTTTCTCTAACAGATGCTCCACCCTAGATATCGGTTTACTTGGGAGAACATTTTTGCCTGTGTTGTTCTGCCCATGACCCATGTTTCCTCTTCAGTTCAAGTGATGCGTCCTCCCTGAAACCATTGAATTCAAATCAGGTCTTAGTTAAACCAACTTTCCTTAGGAAGCAACATGGAGTGTGAAGTCCCATCCTGGAGATACTTTAGTCAAGCGCTTTTATACTGAACATTTTTTCCTTTGTGTATCTATGTTGCCAATAGGTAAATAATACTGCATTTCTTTCCTAATTAGCATCCCTTCAGTTTATGTGTGTGTATATGTGTACACCTTTGTGTACATGTGTGTTCGTATATATACATGGACTTCTTGAGGATTTTCTTTGTATGGATAACAGCTCTTTAAACCTGTACTAATGAAAATGGCATGACTGAGGAATTCTGGTTTTGTTTTTTAAAAAAGACCCAAAAGACACATTCTTCATAGAAGAATCAATTCCTTCCCTTTGTTTTTGTGAAAGAAATTCTTCGGGACAGACAGTAAGGGTTGGCAACTTCTGAAGTCTCCATGGTAGATCCACCACTTACTCCCTCTCACAAAACTTTTAACTGGGGCAGTTAGGAAATTCAGATAAAAAACTACCTGCAATTTTCACATGAGTAGCTCTGCTTCTCCTCCACCACCACCACCTCCACAGGTTGAATGCAGACAAATTTAAAAAATTAATGCTAATATGCATACGCTTTCATAGGATCCCTGAAAATGTGAGGTGACAAGAAATTGACATTCTTAGGCAGGAGAACTGCCTTCAACATTTAATTTAATCCCCAGCTATCCAGCGAAGTGCAAGTCAAGGAGACACAGAGCAGAAGACTCTGCTGGTGGCTTTGAGCTCTTCTGCCCTTGTCCTTTGCTCATCCTGCCTGCTTCTACAATAAATCCCACCCACCTACCCTGATTTCTTTCATGGGAGGAGAGCTGTACGGCCCATCTTCTTGGTCAGGCCTGATGCATATTGGACCCTGGACACATCCTTTCCTCCCACCCACCCCAGATAGGCTCCATTGACGAGAAGAGCTACAGAAAGCTAATCAAGAG